TTCACACATCAGTTGGCCATTCACAGACAGCCGCGACCTTGCAGAGTGAAAGGCAGCAGAAGCAAAGGCAAAATCAGAAAAACTTGATGCCTCAACCAGTCGTGAAACAAAAGCAACCCCCTCCCCCCCAAACCCACATCACTGTTTTGTTTTTCTTTGATATGCTCCCCTCCACTGGAGAGTATTCTATTACTTGTACAAACGACCTGAGTCCTCAATTAAAATTAAATGACTACGGGAAATGGGGGAACTGTTACGGGAAAGAAGGAAAGTGGCAGTCTAAAAACGCACAAGAAGTTTGGAGATTAAATTGACATTAACTGGGTCCTTTTACCTTCTCTGTAGCGAGCAAGATTCTCATGAGGAACAAATCAACGGAGCTTAATTCATTTCAGTACCCCATGTCTGGCTACAGACACTAAACCAGCCCGGGAAGCCAGTTCCCAGGCGTGCAGCATTAGTCCTCTCCGCAGCCCGAGACACTGCGATAGCTCCTAGCGTGGTGGAAGCATCACAGCACAGCCCGGGGCATCGAGGAGAGGAAGGGCCGCTCTGAGCCCTTTAATCTGCATGTTCATGACCATATAGCCTCCTCCTGTCAGGTCCTGCAGAGGGTATTCCCTACTGCAAATGCAGAAGATGAGAGGGACAAAAGTCTAGCAGCCTTTTTTTGTTCCTTTCGGCTAGGATGCAAGACAGGGAGGGCGTCTGTGCTATTTTTGTAGACGTCTCCCGAGCACCTCTGCTGACCTGAAATTATTCTGCCAGACTGCACAGGGCTCAGTCAAAGGGGACTGGAAAAGCTAACAGAAAGTAAAATAATAGGAGCTGTATGGTATTATCACAGGGAAAGCCAAGGGGATTCCTGGAGAAAATGGTACCAGAAGCCATTACTTGCAGCATATTCTCAGCTGGCTGTAACTGGGCTGACAAAACTGTCTCTATCCAGGGGCACAAAACTAAGAGATATTAACCTAGGGGCAAAGGGAGAAAGCTCTCGGAAGGAGACACAATGAGCAAGTGGCAGGTTACATTCCCCTCCCAAAAGGTTAATACGCTAGGCTGACTTAGCAAAGCTTTTAAGAAAATATTATATTCAGGGAAGGGAAAGAAAAACCTCTGTCGTTGCTTTTTGCCTCTTTGTTCTGTATGCTGACTATGTTAGGGTCAATAAGGTATCCTTTCGTCTCAGCTTTTTATTTTTAGCACTGATGCTTGTAAATTATTTTCCCTTTTACATGTGTCTGTCTTGAGAAGGAGATTAAAGTCTGCTACTAGGAAGATGCTGGTTGTGCCTCTGTCCCTGGGTGCTTGAATGATGGGGTGAAGTATTTTGAGAACTCAGCATTTTTAGGGCTGTTTGCTTTCATCCTTGCTTTGAATCTCAGTTGTAGATGCTGCTGACTAAGCAGAGAAAAGAAAGAGACAGGAAGGGGGAGGACTGGGCAGGAGGAAGGCAATGGGCTACGGCAACACCTTGTAAACCGGACCTCTCTCATACTGAGACTGCCAGCAGAGCTGCAGGTGGTTTTACCATCACTTCAATCCAGTGAGCAGGAGCCAATACTAGGAAAAAAATAACAGTTTTAAGGGTGAGATACTAAACCAGATACTGTAATTTTATATATGATCTTTTGTAAGTCACTATGTCATAACTCATCTGTAGAATAATAATTCACTTTTCTGTCATGCCCTTTGCAGATATGTGCTCTTTTGGTGTCTCACAGGACCCACAGAGCATCTTGCCCAATGGGATTGTTATCTTAGCCGTCTTTCTGAACGGCATGTCAGTGGGAAAATTAATAATGTGGGCTGAAGCCTGGAACACAAAACTTGGCCATAATTGTATCATTTCCACTCAGCAGACAGGCAGAGCACTTCTGGCACCTCTGAGAGCAGGAGGCCTGTTTTACTGACTGGCTTAGATTCCAGATCCCCTGGAGCAACAGAAATTGAAACATACTGTCCAGAAAGATTTAATGAAATAGTCTTTCACGCGCAAAGATCGGCACCCAGCCACTCTCCCTGTGCCTCTGCTTAGCAGGTTACCTCGGCTGACAGGGGATCAGAGCCCAAGAAAGCTGGAGCACAGAAAGGAGAATACTTCTTTTGAGTAAAAACAATTGCAGCACAGGAAATGTTTGCATTTCTGGGCTGTAGCAACAACCAAGACAAACGTACTTCTCTCTCTCTCTGCTGTAACATTTGTGATGTTTCACACTGCAGAACAGTTTAAGGTATACAGGCTTTTCAATGCGATTTGCCCTGATTTCCTCCCCAGTCCTGCATTTGAAGCCAGAACTCCCTACCTGCTTGCCAATAATTATTACAGAACCAGGCTGTATCATCGGAATACAGAAAGTTATAACAAGACCCTTGTTTGAGTCTCCCTTGACTTGCTTAATGAGGTGTGGGGTATTTTTATCATGATTGTCTGTTTTGCAGAAACGTCTAGGATGCCCCAGTCATACACCGTATCCCTGTAGTGCCAGCTGCTGTACACACACACACACACACACACACAAAACAGCAACAGACTTTCCCCAAGGAAGTTATCTGATGCGACTTGCTCAAAAATGATTAAAAAATGAGTTTCAAAAATGATTTGACAGCTTCAAAAATGATTTGTGCTGTTAAGTATCCAACTTTAGGGTTCTTCGTTCTCTGGAAACAAACAAAACATACCCTCAAGCCAGTTCTCACAAAATTAAGCTCCCTCAAATCGTTGTTCTGGAAAGTAGACGCAGATCTTTTTCCCATGTGACTAGCAAAAAGTTTGGCTGACTATTGGCAAAAACTTCTCAGAGGATAAAGCCGGTTGATTGAGGGGAACCTTCAGAAACATTTCCATGCTTCTTAAACTTTGTGATATTTGGTTATTCTTCCTGCTACACTTCAGTCCCAAACCAGGCACTGTGCAGCATAGGGCTATGATGCAAAAAGGGTGGGAAAAAAAAAGTAGCTTGCAAAATTCCATGCTTTTATGCAGCGCTCTCAGATATACGGCATTTCCTAGCCAGGATCTTTTCTCCCTTCCAGAAAATTTTATCTGAGCAGAACGGATGAACATATGCACTTTTCAAGGGTTTCTGGATGTCCAGCAGCAGCTTTCACTAGGCAGCTCTGTGTCCAAAAGCCCTGAACATGCCCTTTGGGTATGCAAAGATCATCTCTACAGCAGCTGCAGAGCAAGGACACTTCGCTCAGAGCGAAGCAGCTCCTGAGCAAGCAGCTCACGGACAATCTGCATATGCAGAGCGAAGCCCTGGCGTTCAGGCTGTACTACACGCAATGCCTGAACAGAAACATGCAGCCCTACGCTTTTCCAGCCAGCCAGGCACCATCACTGTGAGAGGGAATTCGATAACAGCCTATACAGGTAGAAACAAAGTGTGGTATCTGCACGACAGCTAGCAGCCGTGTTATTCTAGGGCTGGGATCCTCCAGCTGTCTCTGTAGCGAGGCTTATTGCTCTATGCTAGGACAGACCGCAGCGATTGCATGGGTTCCAGTCCATCCTCTGGCAGCTGCTTTGGTTCCCTCCTTGAGCCAATGGCCCTCAGTTTTAGCAGCCGCCTCAGTGCAAGCTGGCAGGAGCTGGTGGCACTCAACACCTTGCCGAATGGCACTGTCCTGCCCCTGCCAGTCCCGCTGCCCGGCTACTCCGCTTCAGGGGAGGTTTTACAGCAGCTCTAATCATACCTTGTTTCTGTAGAGGTGCCCAATTCCCACCTTTGTGATGGGTCAAAACGCTGAAGAGCTGCTACAGTTATCCATTTTAATAACTACTTTCTAGAGATAGAAAGGGTTGGTCCTTCCAGCTGATTTTAGGAGTGTTAGTCATCTTTGGCTTGTCACAGGGTTCAGACAGCAGAGACACTTCAGCTGTCTTTGAGTTTCACTCCTTCCACTTGTAGGAATTGCAGAGCATTCACACAGACTCCCATGGTAAGTCTGCTGGGATGGAGACAAATACTGAACATCCACATCCGGAACAAAGCCTTACGAGGACTTTTGTTTTTTTTTCTTAGGAAGCAACAACAGGACGAAAGTCTTTCTCCTCCTCCCCTCCCATCACTAAATACTCTCCTTTAATAATACAAGAAAGAATAAGCGCAAGGAACAAAAGCACAGGGAACAGAGGTCTCTGAAATGAGTAAAGAAGTTCCAGTAATTGAACAACTTACATTTGACACACTGAGTTATTAAGTTTCGAGAAGTGATGAAAATATCTAGACATAGCCCTGCCTCCTGAGTGCCAGGATAAATACCAGAGCTTAGGCAGCCCGGTTTTCAGCACAGAAACATTGTCCATGCCCACAGGCAAGGCTGTAGCTGCTGCTGATGCAGAAAATGTTTAGGAAAAAGCCCAAGAAGAAAGCTCTGCAGGGAATGGAACCACAATGGCTACACACATCGAGACAGACACCATTTGGTGACCATGGCTTAAAATCAGCAAACTAGAGCTTACATCTCAACAGTGCTGTGAACACATCCATCTCCCACTAGTTGTACTCGGAGCTGAGGAACCTCCTCCCATGCCATCCCCACTCTGTAACCTGCTGCATTTCTAGTTATTTTTTGTTCCAGTGGAGACTGATAGGACTGCTCCCACAGGCCACCTTTGGCCGAGTATGCATCACTACCTAAGGATACACTTGGAGTTTGGCTTGCAACCTGAAATACACCATGGATCCAACTAGACTGCAAATGTATTATTTCACAGTGAAACTACATCATTTCTACCCTGCAAGTAGCTGGAAGCATTGCTGTTAATAACTAATAATCATCCTCTGCACATATGTAGCACCCTTCATTCATGAGTCTCAAAACTCTTAATAAGCAACAATTAATTGACCCCGTAATATCTCACTGCTGTAATTAAGGCATCTATATAAGGAATAATTGCACCACAAGTGATTCTGGTTCCAGTAATACCATCACAATGCAGCAGATAGGTCATAGCAATTTGTAGTGCAATGCAACAATTAGCAGCAGCCTTAGAAGGGCCCAGAAAAGTTCTTTATTAGGCTCTGAAGAGGAATTTAGGAAAACAGAATGCAAATAAGCAAATTGTAAACATTACAGGATTTCTGGACAATGCACTTTGTTGCCTCTCTCTTATGGGTGTCTTAATCACCAGCATAATTTCATTCATCATATACACATTTACTTAAAAGTACCCTGTAGAATTTCCATAGAAACACTGATCTACAGTTCCACAGAAACACTCTAGTCTAGCAAATCCTTAGTTTGCAACTTCAGGGCACAAAGTTTCCGGATCAGTTCAGCAAGACTGTCAACAAGAAAACAAATGATTTTGGGTGTCCCACTGATGCCTTTAAACAGCTTTGAGAATCTCTGGTTAAAAAAGGAAACAGCATCCATGAGCACATAAAGTGCTATCAACTCAGACTCCCGGGTATTACATTTGCATGCCAGAGCACAGGGCATTAAGCAGACATCCCCCATCGTCAGTCAGGCAGTCATAAAGGCCCCTTAACGTCAAAGTGTTTATTAGACTCTCTCAACAGCCTGGTTTGGGTGGTACTTCATGTCTCATTATCAGTTTGGATGAATGCCGTCTCCAATGTCGTCTTTTCCTAGTGCTGCATTAGCTTTTTGCCTACCCTTTTATACCTCCTTTTCAGTAATAGCTGTCCTATCTTCCCATGCAATTATGACATTTTATTCCAAGACCAAGGAAAGAAGAATTTGTTCCTTTAGAGAGCTTTCATCTGCACACAGTGCTTTAAGGCAGCTGCCTAGATTTATATAATCTGACATCTTAAAGGTGGAATGATAATATTAATGGCAAGACTTGCCACTTATTCAGCAATTCTCAAAGCATTGTCGTGTTCTTCATCAATGTTAATTAAGTCTTAAACCATTGCCAGTGTTTTTGTAAATGGGGAATCTTAAGCATACAGAGGGTAAAGGGACTTGCAGGAAGTCACAAGAGTCAGTAACACATTTAGGAACAGAGATCAGACGTCCAGCCAATTAGGTTAAGCCCTAATTTTGCTCTAGCCCTTTCCATTATGCAGTTAAAGTGTGTTTGTAGCTGCTGGTCTGGTTTATAAGAAGAGGCTGTACTTTTGTTCACCGTGGCTGCTTCCTCCCTTGCCGAGCCCACATTCAGATACCATCCGACTGGCTCAATACCCAGCACTGCAAGGATACTCTAAAGCAGTGCTTGAAATGCTAAAATTTGCAATACCACCCCAGGATTTTCACAGGGCTCTGAACTACAGCAACAGAAGACTGTTGATATTGAGATATTCTGTATCGCTAAGCAACAAATGCATAGCACTAGGAGATCAATATCTTTCCAGGTATATCATTTGACATGGTTTTACTGAACCCAGTGACTCTATACCAATTTAAACCAGTTGAAGCTGCGGTAGCAAGAAGGAAGCAGAAAGGAAGTATTTAGCATAAAAACACCAAGACCCGGAATTTAATCAAAACAGAGAGATAAGTATCTTGCTTTAACATTTAAGCCAACCCTTGGAAGAGATCCAAACAAGACTGGGGGTGAGATTTTCCCCACACGCCCACCCCTATTGCCTGAACAAAGCCGAGCCAGGTTATTTCCATCAAAGCTCTGCCTTGTGCTGTACAAAGAGCAGAGCCGGTCCTGGCAGTGCTTGGAGGACCTGAAAGGCAACAACGTGAGAGTGACAACAGCTACAGCCGGTCAATAATAAAAAAAGTTAACCCAAGTCTGGGTTTGTATTGTCCTGGACCTTTGCAAAGGCAGCGGAACAGAATCGTGGTTTCTTGGCTTTGAAGGCTGAGAACGCACCAGCTCTAACTTCAGCCGCAAGGGCAACCACTGCTTTAAAGTTTTAAGAGTGCTTCATACTCTGGTTCCTCCCGAGTGGGAAACCAGTGAGTGGCAGAAAATGTGCTGTTAATTTAAGTTTCCAAAACGCCAAACCTTCTACATGCCTCACCTCAGTCAGCACTTCAGCAGGGCTTGGTTTAGGGTGCAAACCAGTCTGCAGCCTCTGGCAGCAGTGTTCAGCTATTCAGAGAGACGTTCAGCCAGCATTTAACCCACTATTAAGAGATATCCACATGTCTTGTTTAAATGTATCAGACAGCTTGCGCCTGCTAAGAAACATTAGACATGGCAGTACCCTGTAAAACACCTCAGAGATCGTCTTCTCTGTCTAGAGGACCCAAACGAACATTAAAAACATACAAGGGGCAAGCTAGCTTGGTGTGATGTCAAAGGAAATGCAGCTCATCTACCTGCAGGCATTCAAAGACGTCTGCAGTACCGTGCAGACACAGGCCCAAACTTCTGAGGGCACAAGAAAATTCATACAGTACAGTCTGTCTAACTAAAGCAGGTGAGTTTCTTGCTGTACAGTAGAGCTCTTGCAAACCAGGAAGCATTGCCTACCTTTACCACTGAGGCCCACTGCTCAGTACGTCAATAAGAGCTCGCAGGAGGAGGACAACGCTCTTCTATTTGAGGGTGCTAAAGCTGAGACTTCAGGATTCATTTTTGCCCTGATGCAAAGGAAGCAAGCAAAACCCCTCTAAATCAAAACACACCGCCTTGCTGTTAGGGCACTTGGGACACAGAAGCCAGGTCAAAACTAGAGAGAAGAAGGAGAAAAAAAGGAGAAAGTCAGAGCAATCAGTAGAGCAGTCATCCATGCGTTCACCTACCGAGATGAAGAGCAGAAATTCCATCTCGGATCGGATAATCTCCCTTGATAAAGTTTATTTAAAATTTCTTCTTTAACTGAAAGCAAGATCTGTAGCAGAAACTTTCTGACTAGAAAAGATTCCTGATCAGCTCTCCTAAGAAGCCAGATGGAAAAATGTACTGGTCAAAGACATTAGCCATAGCAGAGTATTTCAGGACAGAAGGCTGAAAAAGTTTCAGTCTCAGATATGCTCATTATGCAACCTTAAGCATAACTTGATTTACCTTAAGAACTGAGGCTACTGTGAACCTCGAAGTTGGGGTATACATTTAATCTCCTAAACTTTTATCTGAATAATAATAAATACAATCAACAGGACTTACCTGTCATTGCATTTCTTAATGTCGTCAGATAAATTAACACCACACTTATAAACTGCCTGTTACGGGAAACCTTTGGGATAAGAATCTCTTTTTTTTGTGTCAAGCACCTAATGCATTGAAGAAGTAATTGATTGACTGCTGTCAGCAAATGCCACTATTACAATAGGTTCATTCTTCACCTAGAGACCCAACTAGACAACTACAGCTTTAGAAAACAAAAATCTAAAAGAAAGAGCTCCACTAAGGAAGGGTGGGTAACAGTTTCTGCAGTGTTAGTTCTGCATGACAATTAAAAGAAAGTTTCTTCAGGGGTTCAAGGATTCATATACAACAGACTAGATGCTAAAATAAATAGGCAACATGGGATATTCTCCTCTCAGTTTGCTCCAAATTGGTGTATGGCGCAGAGAACCCGCTTTGTAAAGGCTCTGGTTTAAATGGCTTGATAAATTGGATTCCTTTGATGCTGTTTGCTCTTGCCTTCCTTAATCTCTCTTAATCATAATAATGATTTTTTTTTTAGTCTGCAATGCATCTGACCTACTTCCACATTCCCCCTATCCTGCTGCTGTTTTCAGTCTGTATTCCCTGTGAAATATCTGTATTTTTCCTCCTCTTTTTCCTTTAAAAAATAATCAATAAAAACGTGTTAAAAAAAAAAAGGAAGATGATCCTCAGGCAAACCAGGAGGTGTTTTGATTCTCACCACCCAGTGAATGCTGGAAACCTCATGCTAGGATTCCTCCCTTGCAACCAGCTCAGGCATCAACCTTAATCAGACCCAAGATACTGCTTGTCTACATGGAACTGGCTGAAGTATTTGAACCAGAAGGCTCTGACAGAGATGTACAAATTGCAAGCACTAGTGTTCTATTTTTGAATTTTTATCACCCCAGCAAAAAAAGAATCGCAGGACTGGAGGGAAGAAAAAAAGGAAAAAAAAAGCGACTTTGATATAGGGACAGAAAGAAAATAATTAGTTTTAAGTAGTGGCAGATGCATCACTTCAGACAAATTACACACCATCCATCCTGAACTCTGTCTGAAGCAGAAGGATAGTCCAGGGATTAGGGTTTTAATAAAGAATTTAGCATCACGGATTACAGTCCCTGCCCCACCACAGCCTGTCTGTGCAGCCTTGTCCACTTATAAAACAGGGCTAACATTTCTTCCCTCTCTCAGCAATATTGTAAAAGCAGCAACACCGAATTGTCAGGCAGTTTAGGCTAGATATAATTTAGAACAAGTAATTGTTGAATGGGATCTCGGGCACCTAACGTGGGAGCTTCGTGGGCATTTACACTGAAATCCACAGTCCCTCTCCTCTGCCCGCTGCCCGCTGCCTATCTATTTCTGCAAGCATGCTAACTCTCCCCAGACTCCGTACTCGACCTAAAAATACCCTGCGTCGCTATAGTTTCGCACAGGCCTCAACAGGCCCTGATCTGAGCAGGGAAATGCTTCAACTCACGCGTAAACTCTAGTGTAATCCAGAAGGGAGGAGCAGCGCCTTTTTACATCTCAGGTAAGCTCCACAGTCACCCTAGTTTCTATTTTAGCCACCTCTTTTTTGTTTTTTTAATCTGGATCTTCAATGCTACCGCAACTGGTACCATAAAAACAAAGCAAAAGCAGCTGGTTGCAGGCAAACCGCTTCCACACAGATGTAGGTGCTGGTGTGGAGCACGGAGAGCCACAGTGCAGAGGAACTGAGAGCGGCAGCACAGGGAGGGTTGGCTAGATCTGTTTCTGAGGCTGTAGCTCTTGATGCAGCATGTATCAAAAAGATGGGAGAGGGGTTGAGTTTGAGTTCTGGGGACAGTTACTATTTCCGCTCAATCCTTAATTTTTTTCCATTTTTGGGCAACTCCACTCTTCCTTGGAGATCAGGAGGAGAAACAGAAAAGTAGCATTTGCATCAAGACAGTTATTTGTTCCTTAGTTTCTGGCACAGTCAGCTAGGAAAACAGTAGCCTGCAGATTCTCATTTGAGGGGTCAGCACTCCTGCAGGCTTTGTACCTTTCTGAATCAGAGACGCTCCAGTCTTTACCTGCTGTTTGGAGTGGTCTTGTGACCAAGCCAGTTTGCTATCCGTCCCAAGAATATGACTGTCTAGACGAGCCAGGCTTTGGAGATATCTATCCAGCTGAGTTAGGCAGCAGTCAAGCAGCTGTATGCACAAACTCCTTTGGCAGAGTAGCACGTGCTGTGATTACAAAGCAGTAAAGGAGAATCATGTAACCGGGGTGGGGATTATCATAGCGCGAAGCATAGTAACTTCATCTTGGAACTGGTCCACATATTGGAAGTAATACTAAAAGATTTGGAAAGAGCAGTACAGCATCCTGGGCAAGACTTGGGGGAAAAAAAAATCAACAATCCTAATTGCCCTTGTGTATGTCAATGCTCACTGACTAATCACTGCAGAAGCAGCGTTCCTGATTTGCTGCAGCATGACAGGGGGAAAAGGAGAACCAGGGCCCGCGTTCAGGGAACAAAATGTTCAGAGCCAAATAAGCAAGGACAAAAGGACAACGGGAATCAAAGGGTGTTGTATTTGATCCAAATACACAAGAACACAAGGCAGTTAGAAAAATAGTCTCAGAAGTAAATTGCAATAAATGGCAGGTACCATAGTTGCTAGAGAGCTAATAAACAAAGATATTTCCTGTAAAATAAACCAAGGAGCATGACATAAAAGGAGAAGCTCGTTTAAAGGGAAAACCATCCTCACTCCGGGCTTTGCATTGTTTTTAATGCTTCAGTGTCCAGCCAACAAGGTACCCTAATATTGTAGCATCCAAGGGAGTCTCACTTTTATCATAAAATACGTGAGGCTACTTTACAGATGCCAAGCCAAGGTACAATGAGGGTAAGTGACCACTATGTCTGTGGAGAGTATAGTTTGTCTACGGTAAAGCAAGAGCTGAATCTCGCTCTCCCGCAGTTCAGGCCAACGCCTTCACTGCCAGACTCCCTTTCAAAGCCCCCACCCCTTATGTACCTACAAGAAGGCACAGGAAAGCGAACTCAAGTCAACTTTATGCTGTTTACTGGAAACCCAGTAAATCAGCTCTTGATAAGACAGTGCAGGATCATGTGTATGCCACTGTTCAGTTCAGAATTCAGAGGATCGCTGCCCAAAGGACATGACTTTCTCCCCCTGCCCTCAATACCTTACATGAGATGGATTTGCTGCGTGCCATCCCTAGCATCAACACTGCAAAAATCACCATCTTAACTAACAGTGTTTCCAGTCTCGTCATACCTCGTAGCAACCGAAGAGCTTCATCCCAGAGCCATTCGCCTTGCAATGTGCATTTGGCGGATTAAGGATCTCATTCCCACTGGCTATCTTGCACTTGTCAGAACAACTGTGCAGAACTTCCCTATAAATGAGAAAAGAAAGACTCTTAGAATAAGCAGGCTTAAAAAAAAAAGAAAGAAAAAAAAGCTGCTCTTCTTTACTGGAGTATATGTCTAATAGCTAATTATGATGCTAAGTCATGGAACCTGATGAAAAAAAAATTACCTATCCCCAGAAGACACACAATCTAATAAATATTCACTGCGAATCTAGCTCCTAAATCTGCTGCCCGCTAAGATAATGAAGAATGATTCAGTCTGAGCCAAATACCTTTTTATTGTCAGATACAAAACTGCTCAGCGTTGTACGAGGCTGCTACCAACAGCAGCAAGGTAACTGTGGGGGACAGTCACACACAGAGCAAAACAGGCTGATACGGCGCAGGCTGCCAGACAGCAGGAGCTCACTGTCCCCTTCCCCGAGGGCTGGAAGATGAGGAAGAAAATAGGGTTGTAATGAAGGCATGAGGGCAACAAACGCTAGTAGGATTCCCAGTGTAATTTGTGGTTTGGGATCGCTGTAGAGATACGTGCGTGTCTCTGTTCAGCCCTTCTATGGGATACACACAGATTTCACTCCAAATATTTATGCTCCTTGTTCTTCTTCTTCTTCTTCCAGCACGCATAAAAATACCTGCGGGGGAAACAGATTATTTATTAACGCTGCTGAAGATGAGACCTGTACCTGTCCCTTGGGTAGCAATACCTGGTAACGCTCCTTAATCCCTGCGCTGAGAACAAAGCTATTATTAGATTGCCTTCAAAAAATGGTCAGTGATCTAACGTCAGACAAGGAAACTCTCATCTATTACACTGGTATATGCCTTCTGTTTTCTGACCTACATATTTAATTAATTTGTGTTTTCAAGGGGCTGATACCACATGGCTCTGCTCCAAGGACAGCCTGAGAGCTGCCATATCCGAAGCGCTCCACAGAGTGCCACAGCTGATGAGGCAGCACCTTTCTATGCATTTCCAGGTGCAGGGAGGTACGCTTCCTGGCAGAGCAGCTTTTGAACTGGCACGCAAAGCACGTAGCAGGGAGCTGCCCTTGCAAGGGACGTTTTGTATGCCTTACGCCAGAACAACATCTGGGCCAGGCGTTTTGGCCTTTATCTGCCCCAGGGCCAAAACGCAGGCATTTTGCACGCAGGGAAAATGCACGTCTGGCCCAGGCGTCCTTGTAGGATGCTCAGAGGGAGAGCAATCATGCACAAGCTTTGAGGACTTGACCTGAAGCCCAGTTCTCCCCAGTGGGAGCTCCCTCAGTCACCATAGGAGCCTTTTAGCCAGATTCCCCAGGTCACTTCTCACACCTTCTCTTTCCTACCCGTTGCCCAAAGCCATCCCTATCCTTTCGCTCCCCTCCAGTCTTTTTCTGCCTCCAGCTCGTCCCTACTCCCACAGCCTCATAAGCTACTCTTCACAGCTGTCTGACTCTCTGCAACGCTACCTGCCCTGATCTGGGATTCTCATTCAACGTCCCAAGGGGCAGGGGAGCCACTGCTGGCTGCAGAGCAAGTCTGAAACAACCACACTAATCTGTCGGCTTACAGTGCGAGCCCAGCACCAATTCAAGTCCCTGCAGACACCTTCTACCAAGCCTAGCAGGCAGATGAGAACTTTACTCATCTCTTTATTATAGTGCCCGGGAGGAAGAAAAACTGGAACAATATCTCACGTATGCTGTTCAACTCACCACGGCTCTAGTGCACAGGTCTTACTGCCCTTTCTACTAACTTGCACGTGATTTAAGCTGGTTTGGTGCCAAGAAGTTCCTCCACTAAGGAGTGATCTCTCACCTGTCCAGATCTTTGGGGAAGCTAATGCTGACATGTGCCAGCAATAATCACCTTTCACTTCCAGTTGCGGCTGGTACCGTAGCCCAAGAGCCTGCACAGCTTTGCAACTAGATAGCAACCCCGACCTGCTGCACCTGCTTTCTCGAGAGCTGTTAAGTCCAGTGTTTATAACTTGAGCTTTCTTCCTAGCTACTGTCTTGATTTATGTTAAGATTTCCAGTTTTAACCTTTGTGTCTTATTTCTATCTCCAGCCTTCAGCTTTTTATTCAGTACTTTAAGTGAAATAATATCTATACAGGCTTTAAAAGAAAAAATGCACCAAAGACCAGCCCCCTTAAAAATTACTGCGATTTCTGCCGTTCACTGCAGGAACATTAGAAATTGACCCTCAGCGCAGGAAAAGTCAGCATGACGTTTTAAATGGTTATAAAATAGTTTAGTAAGCTTTTAACGTAAGTTCTGGTAAGGTAAGTACTGAGCTTTGAGCTTTCCCACAGTCTTCAGCTTTATAGTTCTGTAGTCCATGTTAATCTTTGTATGGCTCAAAAGTTTGCCACAGACTACCTGCGAGGGCTTAAAGTAGGTGATACTCACTTTAAAGGACTTCTCTATTTATAGGATCATTATATTTCTATAGAACCGTTTATTCCTTAAAGAGAATACCATACAGTATCTTAGATTAGCAAAAGACTGCAGGCTGTTTTTTATTCTAAATCAAAGTTTTGCTTAAAATTATGCAAAGAAAATGTCCACCGGTTGAGACTAAAATTCATCTAGTTAGTTATTTTCTTGCTAAAGAATCTGCCCTAAAATATAAAAAGCCTTCCAGAGGGTTTTTTTTTTTCTTTGTCATTTTATAGTGCAAGGCGTCCATGATAAGGCCAGGTTGCCACACACACACTTTTGAAATAGAACAAACTTTTTCACAGGTACTTCTGCAAAAGACCATCAGATGAACAGCTGACCTTGACGGAGCGCAAAATGTACGATGAAAACCTATGAAGTAACTTACTCACAAGAGGTGGTTTCTCCTACTTCCATCAGTTTGTATCTGGGACACCCAAACGCTAGAAGATTTAAATACCCTTTCGAAAAATAACTGAATATATTTATAGATATTGTCATTCTCCACGTAAAATACGCAACACTAATTCCTGTTTTGTGCTGAGCAACAGTATCCTCTGGCAGCAACCTCTGCTGATTGCAATTACATAGCTCTCAGAAGTCAGGATCAGCTGGGGGTTCTCCCAGCTCTGAGATGGGTGTATGAAAAAGAACAATTCTGCTCTCACGTAGAAGTCCACGAAGACAGAGGAGCTTTGAGCTTGCGTATTTGATGTCAACAACCGCCCTGACTTTCTGGAGGGTTCAAAGCCAAATTAAAGAACATGGTTCAGCCTTGGCTTTTGGTATAGCCAGCTGCTGAGAAGTTTTACCCACCCCTGAATTTCATAGTCCATTTGTTAAAAAGGAAGACATTTCACAGAAATTTTATTCAACAAAAGCTTGAAAATAAACTGCACTCTATTCTTAGATTCGCTCTATTCTTACTCAAGTTCCTGGAACAATAGAACAGTAAAAAAGCTGCCTCAGCCCTCAAGTTTTAAGGTGGATGAAGATGTCACCAAAAATGTTGCTGATTCTCCCCCTGCTAACTAACCCAACCAAAACACAGCAGAGTCAGCAACGCAGGGGGTGAACCCCAGACGTGTTGGAATCTCACAGCTACCAGATGAAGTCCTCCTACTCCACAGAAAGGAATAAATGGAAAACTAACAGGGGGCATAGCCAAATAACAAGGTCCTGCTCCATTCTGTGTGCTGACTGCTCTTGTGGCCTCCGGACAGTGCAGCCCGGGTTTCACATGCCACTGTCAGCCTTTATGTATTTTACTAGTACATCCCCAAAAACACAACTAACTTTCTTGTGTTACTCTGGAGTGTGTGTGGGAAATGTCCCCAAGTTTCCATCAGCCACCGCCTGCCAAGTGTCCACACTGAGCCTGATGCGCTAACATTTGACAGCTCTGTCGTGCTCTCCTGGAAGCCCGCTGAAATGCCATGCGACCACCCCAGCTGCAGAAAGCAGCCCTGCGTCTGCTGGCAGGTACCAGAGGCCATTCGTAGCTCCTGCATTACGCCATCCCTCATTTTCTCTCCTTTCGCTTGCTCCTCTTGCAGGACTGCAATTCAGTGGGTGTGACTGCAAAGACAAAGGGAGTTTGGGGCTCATTCTGGTATGGGGTTTTCCCAATTTCCACCCCGACAGCCATTCACCTTATCTTTAGGCTCTCTGCAGCTTCTCTGCAGACAGTTTCCATGACAGTAAGCCTTCTCCAACCTTGCTCTCCCAGTGACATTCCTTTTCGCACAGGCTGTTCAAAGCATCTCAGCTCATCTCTCCCCCTCCAGTGCTTTTGGGCACCCATCTAGCAGTGACCCCTTGACTTCTTATCCCTCCTCCAAGCTGAAGAGCTTCCAGACTCTCATTCCACCAGCTCTATGCAAATCCATGTCCGACATTTGGATATTAAGAACTGCCACAGTTGGCACCATTACAAAACTGGAAGAATGTTGCATCTCCTGCATCACAGCTTAAGCCACTCTCTATTAGAGATGGAGAAAATCTAAAAGTCACGAAAATGCAGGATACTGTGCACTTCTTGCAGGATACTTGTCCAGCTTGACTCATTACCCCTCAGGCCTGATCCAAGCTGATATGTTCACTCACTTCAGAGAGTGACAACAGAGAGACATGAATAGAAACAGGCAGCTCTGGCCACGTACAGTTAGTCATAAATATGCAAATTATTACACAACCTAATTTGCATTAAAGATGACAGGGAGCAACACTAAATCGCTAGCTATGAAAACAACGCAGGATCTGGTCTGCTCCGCGTGCCTCACCTCCATCACCCAGCGCTGCAGGCACTCTCCCCCAGTTAAGGAACTGTTCAACCAGGACACTGGGCTCAGTTCAACCACGGCCACCACAGGCAAGTGCCAGACACGTGGCAGCGCTGGGTTCCAGGATGTTGGCAGGCTTCCCCGAGCCCAAAGATTTCCTACACTCAATGGTGCGCTACAATGTTTTAGGTCTACGTCCTCCCCAACTCCTACAGTGGATGGATATAATGCTAGCATGTCCTAATTCACATAGACTTCCAAAATCTCAGACCGTTTCTCCATAGGAAAAATATCCAAGTGTCAGTGATAAAACACAGATCTCTAACATTTGCTTAGTAAGTCACAAAAACGCACAGGAAGGGCTTAGTTTCCTCAGCCTCGCAGAGCCCCTGCTCCCATGCTGTACTGGCTCGCCTCGCTCTTTGGTCTCTGCAGTTCTCCACCCACGCTGGCGCTGGTAACTACTTGGATAACTGTTGGTGCAATGCCTGTCTGACAGCTAGGGCATCTGTCTCACACTGTATCGACAGAATTGCAAGCCTGCAATCTTAACTAAAATTGTGAACAAGGAGGAAGGAGGGCAAGAGGAAGAGAGACAACCTCGCTCCCCTCCTCCTTGAGGCCACAGCAGCTGGAACACGCTTGCCTGAAGTTTCCCTTGGCAGCTAAACGTCCACATGATTGACCCAGGGAGCCACCTGATTTCACAAATGCTCCGTGGCAGTATAGCTCCAGGAGCAGTTATGAGACTATAAAGGGGGGGTTAAAAAGCAAGCAGTCAAAGGAGGAGTTTTAGTCTCTCCCAAGCACAGCATCATATTTGCATGCAATGAGAAATAAGCCTGGCTCCTGGAAGATATCCATTCTGCGAGCTCTTCTGGGGGCTGCGAGCTCTGCGAGGGCTGTGAGCTCTTCTGGGCAGATTTAACCAAAGAGACAGGCTGAAACAGAAGGCCATATTCTGCTCTGCTTGTGTGTTTACATACTTGACCCTTACATATGCCTAGTCCCATGAACTATTCATGAACACTAAGAATATCTCGCAAACATTAAGAGGTTCAGGGCCTTAAAAATCGATTTACTTAGTTATGGTCCTTATCTTACTCAATGACTCCTATAACCAAATGCAGTACTCTTCCCAGTGGGGGACAGAATAGCAATAATTTTAAAGAGGTGAAAGAGCGTCCAGTTCTTTGGGCAAAGGCTACAGAATATCATAAACTCACTGTTGTTTGCAAGCGTTTGGAGTATTCAGCGACTATTTCAGTCAAATCATTTCTGACGATGGAATTTTTTTTGCTAAATAGTCTAAACGAGTGGTTCGTTAAAAGCCTGATTTCAGTTATTTTGCATATGTATCTTGGTAAGCCTAAGAGAACTCAGTTGCATGCATGCGTACAGAAAAGCACCCAACTAAAGGATCCCCATCAACTATAAGGTGGTATTCAGGAGTGGGCCTTACCCTGCGGAAAGTGGGGTCAATACCCACCAGAACTTTATTACCCTCAGAGCTACTTGTTATTAGTAAGACGGATAGCGAAAATGAACATTGCTGTCTTGCCTTGCTCTCAACCATTTCTCCGTAAAACGTAAAGTAGGTTTCACACTCCCAAGTGCTCACGGAGCTGTACCCAACCCTCTCACATCTAAATTCATGTAAAGGGATGCAGAACTGCTCAGCGAGGGCTGCAGACTGCAGATCGCCTACCCAACGCGCCCATTCGTTTTGTATTTCAAAGGCCTTTGTAGTTCCCCTGGGAGAAAATACAAGGCGCTTTAAAGAAAAATTAGCTAGACATGTTGAAGACTGACAAGTGCCCTAACTTTAAAAACACTAAAGTGCAGAGAAGTGACCTGCCTGGCTCCCGCAACCCTCTGCTGGAAAGGGCTCGCCTTCTCTCTGAATTACAGATCTCCAAGAGATTTTTCTTCTCTAAGCCGTGGCAGAAATTGCCTCACTCATCTCTCAAATCTAGCATGAGGCATGACTAATGTCTGTGACATGCCCTGAAATACTGGGAGGAAAGGTGCTATAGAAATGCAAAGCAGCTTGCAGGGACAGAAACACAGTCTGTCTCTCTCGCACTCTTCCTTCTCGGCTTTGTTTTTCCACACCTCTTTGTTGTGGTCCCCGCTTATTTTGTAAACAGAGTCTGGTACTGCTTGGCAATGGCATCACCAGCTTCTCCAAATAAATAAATAAAGCGCAGAAGAAATCTCCGAACGCAACGGATGATTTTCCTCAAATATTTCACTCCAATATTTCATTTCACTCCATGAAAAATCACTGAAAGAAGCAGGAGATGAAGGAAAGGAAGGAAAGATATGGAGCTGCCTGGCATGAGCCACTTGGGAAAGCATCACGAGGCCAGCTTACATGAAGGAAACCAAACTTGGCGAGCTAGCCAGCAACACAGCAACTCCCTTCTGCCTCCGCCAGGGGTAGACGTATCTTTTTTCATTACATTACCCATCAAAAAAGCCCTCTAAACCCAAGCCAGGTAAACTCCCCTTCTTCAGTTTCCCCAATCTCATTCCTCAGCGGAAAAAGTTTGTGAAAAAACCAGGCATACGTACCAAGCTGTGGAGTGCTCAAAAAGAGCCTCGCGCTAGGTGGAAAAAATTTCTTACTCCTGATTATTAATAAACACGCATCTGTTTTCTGAAGCCAAAACTGAAGGTTGAGCTCGGTCAGGGATTGACGCTGGGCCGCGCTCCTGCCTCTCATCCTCGGGGTTCGGGAAAGCTCTGGCTACGGCGGAAGCGAAGGGGGTGAGGGACCTTGGGATCCTGCCCGCAAAGGGCAGACGAGCCCTCCAGACACACGGCAGCAACCTCGGACCGGGGCCCAAGCGATTCACATCAGCTCCGTCCCGCCTGGTGAAGTCGACACAAGAGCTCTGACCTTTTCTGCTCGTTCAGGTCAAAGCATTTCCTGGCATCATCGAGAGCCGTTAAAATTTCCAGAAAATTAGCAAGACGACGGACTGAGCGCATGAGAAACAAAGAGGACGTTTTACATGGGAGGACGTTCTGCCTTTCTCTATTTTTTTTCTTTTTTAAGCAAAGATGTTGAGGCAAAATAAAATAAAATAAAATAAAGGCAGTGAGCTGCAAAGCACAA